CCCTCCTCTTTCCCAGCCAGTGGGCTCCGTAAAATGCCTTCTCCAAGTCCTTTAAAACTTACAGCCTTTTCAAGCCAGCAGAACCTAGAGTCCATCTGGTTCCATCTTCTCCTCCCATTTACAGACTATCAGCCTCCCGACGTGGGACCCTGTGTGCTGATAGCTAACGGGCTGTGTTCTCGTTTGTGGCATTTCAGAGACACCACATCAAACTCGCTAACCCCTGAGGACACTGAAGACATGCCTGTGGGGCAGGATGCTGAAATCTGCCTGCTGAAGTCGGGAGAACTGATGTAAGTTACACGTTCCTGAGCTGGGCTTCCCGGGGTGTCAAGTTTGGGAAAGAGGGCCACCAGAGGAAGAGGCCTGGCCTCTCCAGTGCCCAGTCTAGGGCTCAGATTGTCAAGTTCCACCACTCCAGAAAGTTCCCCCTGTCCCTTTATAGTCATTCTTCCCTCACCTCCGTGCCCTGTGTTCTTCCTCTTTAAAAATAACTTCGTTTTGTAAGAGTGATACATTTTTCTTATAGAAAATCAGGAAATAGAGATAAACACACCACTTTGGTATATGTCCTTCCAGTCTTCTTTATACTAATAAACATAATTTTCCAACAGAAACAAATACCCTACGTTTTATTTCATAGTCTTTTTAAACTTAATATTGTATGAGTATTTCCCCACATCCTTCTTTTTCTCCAGTGTTATGACCAATGGCTGCATGAGTGCATTACTGTCATTGAATAAATTCAGTCACTCAGTCACAGATACTTACTCAGCACCTACTATGTGCTAGATACTGTTCTAGGTCCCTAGAGTACATCAGTGAACAAAACAAAGACTCCTGCCCTCGTCTTCAGTTTACATTCCAGCACGGATTGACAGGCAATAAACATCAGTAAATAAATAAATTATATAGTGTGTTACAAGGTGGTGCCTGCTTTGGAGAAGAAACAAAGAGTAGGATGTGAGGGAAGGAGGTTCACTTTTAAGTAGAGTGACTCTAAGAAGATAAGACTTGAAGGAGTTGCCATGGAGATATATGAGGGAACAGCATTCAAGCAGAGGGAACAGTCGGTGCAGAGGTCCGGAGGCAGGATGGTTTCTGGCATGTTCAAGGAACAGGGAAGGGGCCCTTGTGGCTGGAACAGAGAGCAGGAAAGAGAGTGCTCATGTCAGTCACATCAAGGCTTCTTGCCTGTTGTGAGGACTTTGGCTTTTAATCTGAGGGAAATAGGAACTTCAGAATTAGGTTTGGAACAGAAATGTGACTTAATCTAATTTACATTTGAAAAGGGCTCATTCTGTTTGCCTTGTGGAGAATGACTAAGGAGGGGCAGGGGCAGAAGTAGGGAGACCAGTAGAATTTACATTTATGATGTGAGTCCTGTAGACAACTGGCTTCTTTTACTGAAGCTTATATTTGAGCCGAGATGGCAAACCTCTGATTTATTTTTATTAACATCTCCTTTGGTGAGACTGAGTATTGTCTTCTCACTGAACAGATGAGGTGGAGAAAGGTTTAAAAAAAAAAAAAGATTAAAGGCACAGTCCAAGTAACTGGGTGCAAGGGGAGAATTCTGGAACACAAAATTATAAAATGACCCGCATCAGTGGGGCATCCTGACAGAGTAAGTAGTGCAGGAAGATTTCCTTGTTACAAGAAAGACCGCTTTTCCAAAATGGACC